CAGCTTGGTCCCCCCCGCTGCACCCCGGGCCCTGTTGTGCCCCCCCTGCTGCGTCCCACTGCCCCCCCCAGCAGCCCCTCATGCGGCTCCTGCAGGAGGAGAGCTGGGGTCCCCGCACCCCCCAGCATTCACGCTGCACCCCTGCTGCACCTCGCTGCATCCCCCCAGCATTCCCTGCCTGTACCTCCTGCAGGAGACGAGCTGGGGCTGCTTGGCCCCACTGCACCCCCACTGCATCCCACCTGCACCCCCACTGCATCCCCACTGCACCCCCACGGTACTGCACTGCATCCCCACGGCATCCCCGGTGCATCCCCACTGCACCCACACGGCACTGCACTGCACCCGCATGGCATCCCTGCTGTGCCCATGGGCCCCCCTGCACCCCCCCTACATTCCCCTTGCACCCCAACTGCATCCCCACTGTACCCACATGGCACTGCACTGCATCCCCGCTGCACCACACAGCGCTGCGCTGCATCCCCGCTGCATCCCCCCTGCACCCCAACTGCATCCCCACAGCACCCACACAGCGCTGCACTGCATCCCCATGGCATCCCCGCTGCATCCCCGCTGCACCCACACAGCACTGCACTGCACCTGCGTGGCATCCCTGCTGTGCCCCTGGGCCCCGCTGCATCCCCGCTGCATCCCCGCTGCATCCCCACGGCATCCCCGCTCTGCCCCGCTGCGCCCCCGCTGCACCTTGTTGCACTCGCACTGCATCCCTGCTGCGCCCTGCTGCCTCCCCGCTGTACAGCACTGCGCCCCAGGCACCGTGGGCAGGGCCGGGAGCGGGGGACCCCCCCGTGCACCCCGGAGCATGCGGGGCCGAGGGCTGTGGGTGCCTCTGTGGGGCGGGCGCGCTCCTCTGTGCCCAGCGTGTGGGGCGGGCACGGGGCGTGATCCTGTGGGGCCGGGGGTCGTGGGGTGCCGTGGGGCTGCCCCGGCCCCGCTGACCGTCCCCACCCCCAGGCTGAGCGCCGTGGGGCTGCGGGGACACCGCCATGGCCAAGCGGGAGGCCAGCGCCAGCCCGGTGGTGCGGCAGATTGACAAACAGTTCCTGGTGTGCAGCATCTGCCTCGACCGCTACCGCAACCCCAAGGTGCTGCCCTGCCTGCACACCTTCTGCGAGAGGTGAGGCTCCGGCCCCGCTGCGCCCCGTCTGCGCCCCTGGACCCACTGCAACCTGCGGTGTCCCTGGCCCCGCTGCGTCCCGGCTGCGCCCCCGCCCGCGCTGCACCCCACTGCGTCCCCTTAGTGCCCTCAGCCCACGCTGCACCCCCACTGCGTCCCCAGCGCGTCCCTCCTGTGCCCCGCTGTGTCCCTGGCCACTGCTACATCCTGACTGCATCCCTGCTGCATCCCTGCTGCATCCCCACCGTGCCCTGGCCCTTGCTGTGTCCTCACCGTGTCCCCAGTGCATCCCTGCTCTGCCCCGCTGCATCCCTGGGCCCCACTGCATCCCGAGTGCATCCCACTGCATCCTCACTGCGCCCTGCATCCCCCCTGCATCCCCCCTGCATCCCCCCTGCATCCCCCCTGTGCCCTTGGGCCCCCCTGTATCCCCCCCTGCATAC